TATTTTAGCTTTCTGTCCTCCTTTCTCCCAAGAAAACAATGTTCTTACTGGTATATCATATTTAATAATATATAATAATCTGAACACAGATAAAAGGGGCCATTAACCATTGATAATTTTCCAGTATAATAATAATAATAAAATTCAAGTGGAATTTCTTATCGGGATTTATGGTTCATATTTGCCTCAATAACTTAGAATAGAGATGAAGCAAAAGTCCGTTAGATGGCCTTTCTGTTGAAATAATTTAATTGCCTGCATATGAGAGATACTTGTATGTAATGGAAGCTCTGAGAGTGACACACATTTAGGATATTTTAATTTTGGTGGCATTCAGATAATGGAAGTCTTTAATGTGAGTTTATAACCCACATTTTAGAAAATGTTATGTTAATGTTGATGGTCTCATACCTTCCAAAAAGGAGGTGAGTAGGTGACATTTTCAAGCTGCACTCCTGATTTTAGGAAATGTTGGTTGCCTGAAACGGAGGTGCAGCTTGAACCTCTCTAGACTAGCACCCTCTGGTCCTGATTGGTGCCAAAGCAGAGAATTTGCCAAACCCTGGGAAGTCAATATTGTCTGTTAATATTACCAGTATTTCCACTGCTTACTGGCTCTGAGAAGACATTTGGGGGTAAATTAGAGTTAAATAACAGCACAGACCACAGAGAGCTAGGGATAGTAGCTGTAAACAAACTATGGGACTGCAGGAAACTTGGTCATACCCATGATAAGTAGACATCCAGCTAGATCATGCCTGACCACAGATGTTGCTGTACCAGAGAGTGCTGAAGTAGAGAGTATGCTCATCAGCCCATTACTAGTCTATATCCTATTTTTCTTAGGGCAGGTCTACACTACAAATTTACATTGGTGCAGCTGCAGCACATCTGGTGAAGACACTCTAAGCCAGAGGTGGGGAAGCTCTTTTGGTTCAAGAGCTGTTGACCCATAGAAAAATCAGTCGGGGGCTGCACACAAGCAAGAAGCAAACAAAAAAACAAACCCCTCACTGATGTGGTACCCGACTGAGTACGAGACACACACTCCCCATATTCCCCTCACACACCGGAGCCTAGGGGGGCCTAGGTTAGTAGATTGTGTGTGCTCCAGCCCTGCAGGAGAAAGTGAGGGGCTGGAGTACCAGCGCAGGCTCCCCAATGTTGGGGTTGGAGCCCTGATCCTCGGGGGCTAGATCCAGGCAAGCTGGGGGCCGCAAGTTCCCCATCCCTGCTCTAAGCCAACAGGCTAGAGCTCTCTCATTGGCTTACTTCCACCTATGCAAGGGAGAAGCTCTCCTGCCATCATAGCACCATCTACCCAGTAGCTGGAGGGGTTACAGTTGGTGTAACTATTTCGCTGAGGGTGTGGATTTTTCATGCCCCTGAGTGATGCAGTGATACTGAAATAATTATGTAGTGCAGATCACGCTTCAATAATGACTGCCTCTTCTGTTCTGTTTAGTTCTGTTAAACAGAAGTTATTGAAATTTATAAGAAACCTCCACTGGAATACTTGAAGCAGAATTTTGAAATATTTAAGGCTGTGTGTGTGCTCACCAGAGTGGAGCAATATGCATGTTACTAAAGCACAGATAGCAGGGCCTAATTTTATGCTTATTAACTGGGAGTTCCTTTAATTTTTACTGCAGAATATGCTTTTTAAAATTTATTCTGCATATTAATGTTCTAAAAGGCAGCAGAAGTTTTGTAAGCCTTCTTTCTTTTTCTGTAATAAGATTACTCATAGGTAATTCATTAATAAGCAGTAATCCTTTCAAATTAGCGAAAATTCTCTAAAAATTATTTTTTGTGTTGCAGGATTCTACAATTTCCCAGGCCTCTCAAACTAGAAGATCTTGCTTCTAAAGCTAAAGTGGCTTTTGGACAGCCTATGGACTTGCATTACAGCAATAATGAGGTAATATTCTGCCTTCCTAAATCTTCAGTTTCTCATATTTTAATGAATTAATGGTTTTGACAGCTGACTATTTTTAAGATTGAAATCCAATGTATTTTCATAATGACTGAAGGTCATCTGGTGTTAGGCTCCACACGGTGTTTCAAAGTGGCAGCGCCATGTGGAGCCCAGGGTTAGCTCGGGACTCAGAGTCCCCAGCTGACCCTAGGCTCCATGCAGTGCTGCTGCTTTGAAACTCCACAGGCACCAGCAGGGGACTGCCTGAGTCCCCCGCTGGCCCTGTGCTCTCTGCAGCGTTTTCGCCTTTGAAGTGTAGCCTTTGAAGTGGCTGTTGCTACACTTCAAAGATGGAGGTGCCCTTATCGACTAATTCGATTAGCCAGTTAATTTAAATTTAACACCCCTAGTACAGAGATGCACATAGTACCAGCAGCTGGCCCCCTGGAGTAACATGTGGGGGCCATGGCAGGTGGGGAGCCTGCCCAAGGGTTGTTGGTGGCCAGAGTATTGTGGCAAGCTTGACTCTAGTTTCATTAGAATAGGTACTTGTACACAGGGTAAATCTATTGATGTAGAACAGTTTCTTTATATAAATATAAGATATTTTCATTCCAATTTGATTAACATCTAGTTATGGCTTTAAAATGTCAGTTTATTATTTTAGTGGATTTTAGTTGGCAATTTGTGATTCTGGCCTAGGCAAATTAATTTAGTTCATGTTTTTCTAGTGCAGTTTGTATTTATCCCATCTAGGAATGTTCGTGTCTGGAACTATTCCTTGAATACTGTAATTTACTTAATAAATAAGTCATTGGGGATGTATATAATCAACATTACTATGTGAAAATTGTTATGAACCCTGATGCTATATGTTACTACCAACCCTACTCTTTTTGTGTTCCTTGTTAAGTTGACTATTTTCCTATCTCCCTGTAGTTGGTGATTCCATTAACCACACAGGATGATTTGGACAAAGCTGTTGAACTGCTAGATCGTAGTGTTCACATGAAGAGCCTCAAGATATTGCTTGTAATACATGGAAATACACAGGTATTAGTATATTAATGGCTAGATTAAAGAGTTAAAAAGGATACTGCCTAATTAAATTGCACTTCCATCTGAAATATAACGGTTATTGTAATGCCTAAGGTTACTCAGATTAGAATGTTTTTCTGTTTGTTCAGTTTATTTACTTTATGCATGTAACATTATTTTACATTTGGTCAACTTCACTCTGTTCTCCTAGAGAGTTAAATTGTTCTCCTTACCATCTGTATGTGTGTATGAGTTTGTACAACAGCAAAAGATGCATTTATTAATATAGTAAAATATGATGTAATATTGCCAACATTGGCATGTAATTTCAGGGGCTGGTGCAGATCTTGAAACTGCTATTGTACCTATTTTTAGATTAACAATTTCAAGTTGTTTCTTTAAATAAAAATAAATGTTCAAATGCATCTGTCACAACAAGTGTTAACAATGAAAATACATTGAACTTCCATAATCTATTTTTCCATGATCCGGGGATATCTGTGGTTCAGACCCTGGCAGGGGAGCAGGAAGTGGCTCTGCACAGCTGCTGCTCCCCATATCCCCTAGCTGGGAGAATGGCTGTGTAGCAAAGTGCTGCTCTGGAGGACCACCCAGACCCCACCCCCTCACCCACAGGACACTCCTATACCCTCCTTTCCTTCCCGACCCCATGCTTTGATCCCCCATGCCTTTCATTATGGCGAACACCCAGAGTCTGGAAAATTCTATAATCTGGCCTACACTGTTTCCCATGGTTGCCAGATTAAAGAGGTTCAAGTATAGTAGGTTTTTGTCATTTCACTGCAAACAGAATAGGATTTGGTCATTTAAGTTGTTACATTATAAATAATAATAATTTCATATAGTGACTCTTTCGAGTTGAAATCCAAACATGAGCTAAAAAATAATGTATTTTTTTCACAAATTGAAAATTGCAAGTTTGAAAAAAATCCTAATTTGTAACAAAAAACATAATTTACTACTTCAATATAATTTTAAAACCTGGTTGTAGAAATGTTTGAATAAACTGGTGTAATGATATAGACCATATGGACTTTTAAGCAAAACGGATATCTAGCATAGAAATGTTTCTTTTAACATAAAGAGCTTTTGGAAATCTGTAGTGTATTTTTATTTATTGCTTTCCTTTCAGAACTACAGAATTAATAGTTTTAATTTTTTCCCCCATTTTTAGGCTCCTGCTCTGAGTAACATGGAACCCCTGCCATCACTAGAAGATTTGGATAATACAGTGTTTGGAGTGGCAGAGAGGAAAAACAGGCTGTCTGTAATAGGTAAAGCAATTAATATTCCTGTGCCTTTAAGTGTATGAGCTTTCCTTTTAAATTGTCTGCACTTATATGAGAGAAGATCTCTATTAATTCTGACTGATGTGTTGATGCCCTGTTACTTTTACTGAGATTTATTCATGCTGGTGAGTTAGGTGATGTTAATGAATTTTAGTTGTAAAAATAAAAGAAATGTTAAATAAAAGTAAATATATTTTTAATTTGCCTAAATGTTTATTGTCAAAAACAACAAACTGCTTTTTTTTTTTTTAAAAAAAGGTTCTAATACTCGTGATAGAAGTTCACCTCCCCCAGGATACATTCCAGATGAGCTGCACCAGGTGGTACGAAATGGATCATTCACTAGTATCAATAGTGAAGGCGAGTTCATTCCAGAAAGCATGGATCAAGTAAATATATTTTCTTGTTTCCACTTGATTAAATGCCACTATGAACATGGTGGCTGACTGATCTACCAATTTACCACCTTGTCAGTTAATGTGTGTATAATGGTTTAACAAAGTAGAGTACTGTAAATGTAGTAAGTATTACCACCTTCTTCTGGCAGGTACATGGGGGCGTGGCATTCTGTCCCTCTGATCTATTTGTTTCATTCTGGTGGATTAGCTCAGTATTAGAATCTACAAGAATTCCTGGTCTCTGAATATCAGTATCCTGTCTGGGTAGCTTAGAGGATTGAAAATGGAATATGTAGTGCTTTTCGCATCTGGGTCATTATTTATCCATATTACAGTGGTGCCTCATTGCCCCTTTTGAGATCAGGGCCTGGTGAGAGAAGCTCTGTATTCACAATTAGTAAGAGTCAATATTTACCATAAAGAATTTGAAATCTAAGTAGATGAGAGAGAGTGGAAGAGAAAACAGAGGGTTAGTGTTAGTGGCTTGTCGGTTGCATAGCAAGTCACTGTATCAACTGAGAATAGAAGTTATGTCTCCTTATCCACTGGACAGCACTGCCTACTATTCTTCTGATCAGATCCAGCCCAGTTCTGTAGATAATAAAAATATATTATTCCTCTTGTTGGCAGTGAGGCCAAAGATTGCATGTATGTAGACTCCAAAATGTAAAAAATGTATAGCATGTATGAGTCATCAGTAGTATTTTAAATCTAGGACCTTCAGCTAAATAGCATATGTCTAGGGCTGGCTTTAGGAAGTGCGGGGTCCAATTCGAACGGTTTCGACGAGACCCCGGCAGCCAGGTTTTTTTGTTGAGCCCCATAAAAACCAAACCACCACACACAAAGTTTCGACGGGGCCCCGGCAGCCAGGATTTTTTTTTTGGTTGAGCAAAAAAAACAAAACCCCACACACCGAAGAGTCACAGCCCCGTTAAATCCAGGGAAGCCGCCACACTCCTCTTCTGGGGCCACCGCCCTCTCCTGCAGCGCACGTGGCACGTCCCAGAGCTGTGGGAAGGGAGCAGCCAGCACTGGAACAGATTCGGGGGAATTGGCCTAGAGCCAGCTCTGCATATGTCGATAGCATTGATTCTATAGGAATAATTTGCAGTAGTAGATTGTTATCCTCTCTGGACCAGCCATTCAAAAGGGCAAGTTACCTGGATTGTCAAAGACACAGTAAGAGACATTTTTGACCCCATGTCCATCTCCTTCCAAGATTTTAAGTTCTCTTTTCAAAGCTGTTTCTTTAAATAAAAAAAAGGATATTTTTAAAACATTGCCATAGCTAGCTATCCTGTAATAGCCAAATTATTTTTGCTCGTATTTTGAAAAAATTTCAGCCTGAGAGAGATCAAGCAATTCTGTGAATCTAATGTAGGTGCTGCAATTACTCCTTTTTGTGTGTGTACTACATACATTTCCTTTAACATAATTTCTGTAATGTACTATTTTCTACACCGGGGTGGGCAAAAGGGCCTTCATAGGCCAGATCCGGCCCACCAAGCAAGTTGATCTGGCCTGCGGAGGCCCTGCCAGTTAAGGTCTAGAGGCGGTGGGAAGTGTGCAAAGTCTCTTCCCGCCCTGCCCCAGCCTTTAGAAGCAATCATGCTCCTGGCAGGGAGGAAGGAGACTGTGTGTGCTCTCTCTGTCTCTAATCCCTGATTAGAGTGCGCACAAAGTCTTCGTCCTCCCTGTGAGGGGTGCGGTGCTTCTAAGCATCTCATGTCTTGCAGGACAGGGGCAGGGTGGGAGGATACTTCGTGCACTCCCCTCACCCCCAGGCCTCAGGGGCAGAGGAGTGCGTGAAGTCTCCTCCTGCCCTACAGGTGGCTCAGCAGTTAAAATCAACCACCAGCTGCTGCTCAGCTCCTTCACATGCTCCCTCTCCCCACGCCCTGATTGACCTGGGGACAGCAGAGGGGAGTATGCAAAGTCTCTCCCCACTGCCAGGGGCCTAGATGTCTAGAGGGGACTGCCAGCTGTTCAGAACAGCTGGTGGTTGTCTCTGGGAGGAGAGGGGGCAAAGACTTTGTGTGCTGTCCCACCCCCTGACAAATCAGGGTCTGTGGGTGGGGAAGCATGAAAGTGTCCTGGCCCCGCCCTTTCCACCTGAGGCCCCACCCCTTCTGGGGTGGCCTGGGGCCACTTCAAAAATTTCTGAAGTGACCCCTGGTCAAAAATTATTTCCCACCCCTGTTCTACGCTGCGTCAAGTAAATAAATAAATACAAACAATATATTCATATTAGGTGGGAGAAGGGACCAGAATATTTTTCAGCAAGCAGGACTTCATGCAGTAGGGCTTCAGCTGGATCAGTTATAGCTGCTGGTTTTTATGATTAATATGTTGGGAATTTGCGCTATAAAATGTGAACTATCAATCATAAAAAAGATCTTTTTTTTTTTTTTGGTCCGACTCTTGTCACTTATTAGATGCTGGATCCATTGTCCTTGAGCAGTCCTGAAAACTCTGGCTCAGGAAGCTGTCCCTCACTTGACAGTCCTTTAGATGGGTAAGAGCAACTTAAATTCAGCACTTCTTTCTACTAGATTGCTTGAAAGTACCATCCACAAAATATAGTAACCCAACTGTCAGAAACAATTTCTAGGTGTGCTTTTTTTCAGACATATTCATGAGCATGCGCGCACATGCACACGCGCGCACACACACACATCCCCGCCCAGTATTACTTAAGAGGATTTAATTGCTTACTAATGCACAGAAGAGAAGAGTACCATATCAGCCTGTTATTTTTGAAGAGGCGTAACATTTCTGTTTTGAAGATGCATCAGTTTCTGTTGTGGCTTTTTCTGTTGCACACAGAGATTTACTGTAAGTCTGGCCATTGTCTTTGTAAATTGAGTGTGTTCTACGGTTATGAGCAGCTCCATTACACATATATATTAGATATTGGCATAATCTGCAAGAAAATTCCATTCCACTAATGAGCTACCCAGTACTATGCTTAAAACCACTGTTATAAATCAGAACAAACAGTCAAACATACATGGAAAGGTGAGTGATAGTTGTATAGTGTCATTGCAGAGAAAGATCCTTCAAGAGATAAGATTATGTTGTTGGTACATATCTTACTGAGTATTTTAGGTTCACTTACGTGCCTAAATATTGTAAATAAAACAAAATTTGAATATTTCCCAGATGAAGTGATGTTTTCATTTCCTGATTTTTAAAAAAATGAATATTTTCTGTTCAGAGAGAAATCATTGTATAGGACAGGGGTGGGCAAAAGGGCCTCCGTGGGCTGGATCCGGCTCATGGAGGCCCTGCCGCTTCCTCACCCTTAGGCCAATTATGGCCAGGGAGCAGGGGGAAGTGAACCAAGTTTCCTCCACCCTGCAAAGAGTGAGCGCCACACGCTCCTGGCAGGGTGGGAGGAGACTTTGCGTGCTCCCCCTCCCCCAGACCAATCAGGACCTTGGGGCGAGGGGAAGTGCATGAAGTTTTCTCTGCCCTGTCCCTGCCCTGCAAAGAGCGCGTAGTGCTTAGAAGTGCTGTGCATTCTTGGCAGGGTGAGAGGAGACTTTGTGCACTCTCCTGCCCTCAGACCTGATTGGCCTGGGTTAGGGTTAAGAGTTGAGAGTTAGTGAGTGAAACAGTCGATCATTGTAATGGTTTAGTTTTATATTTACTTAGGTTTTGTCATTTTGTGCCACTCAAGGAACTGGGAGGTTAGGAGGTAATAAATACTTAATTAAAATTATTAGTACACATTTATGAAACACAAATCCACCAACCTGAAATGGATGGTGGTTCCCATGTTGAACCGGTCAGACTGGCAGAACAGTCAGTCATAATTAGGTGAATTTGTGTATGTGTCCTTTCCTGATTTGAGGGGGACATCATTGTGGATGGATTTATCTACCATTTGTGCTGCAAAATCCATCTTCTCTGGCATTTAAAGTGGTTGGAGATGCATATGTAGAGGGGCTGGAAACTGAAAGATGATCTGGTAGGGTCTCATGGTATGGTTGGGGAGAAGGCATTTTCTTTTGTGGGAAAGTATACATTGATCTATTGGAAATTAGAAGTTTGTCTCAAAACTTTAATTATACATTTTAAAAAATGTCACATTTAAATATTGGTTGATGGTTAAAATTATGGGTAGATATCAGATAAGTCAAATAAATAAAAAAATTTCAATCTTGCACATGGTGCAAAATTCCTGCATTATCCTCAGAAATTAAACATATTCATGCTTTCACTTTATGGTGTCTTATAATGTAATTTGATTGCTATAAAATTTTGTGATCATGCCAGTGATTAACTGTTGATGATTGGAAACCTTATGGAGTTATAAATATCCATTCACAAATCTTGCTCGCTTTTTGCTCCACTCTCACAGAAGCCAGAAGTTGCAGAAGGCTAAACTTCCATGTCCAAAGCACCTTAAGAACTTCCTCCCCTTATTTGTTCTTACCGTCAAAACAGCAGCAACACTTCTGTGTTGAAAAAGTGTAAAAAGTTAGGGGAAAGTAATCAGTTCCCACCTTGTTTTGTTCTTATGGAACAAATGACTGAGAATGGCAAGAACAGGGGTTTCTAGTCTAGCACAACTTCTCAGGTGTTTGTACTGCCGGGGAAAAACTCTCTTTCCAAAGGAAATCCATGCTAGATAGTCAGAACTAGACTAGAGTCTCATGAGCAAAATTTTGGCACAGCAACAGGTATGTCAATCACTCTGAAATCTAGCTTGACATCAGTGGCATATTGAATATGGTCATCTTGGAGTTTAAGCTGTATCTGATCTTCCCTTCAACTGCAAACTTTAAGCAGTTAGATTCTACAAGCTAATAGCCTCAGAGTTAAAGCATTTATCTCTTCATGTCAATTTTTTTTGAAAAAACATGAAATTATCATCTAATTGTCATCAAAGTATCATAATACATTTTTTTGGAAACTTTTGAGATTCGAACTTTCCAGAAACTTGGGGCAAAAGTTTGCTTACTGGATGAATTCTTAGCTATGTTAATTCAATTAGGGTACATCTAGACTGCAAGCTTCTTTCGAAAGAAACTTTTTCGAAAGAGCTCTTTCGAAAAAGCTTCTTTCAAAAGAGAGCATCCATACCTTAAAACCGGATTGAAAAAGCGATCTTCTTTTCGAAAGAGAGCGTCCAGATTGCATGGACGCTCTTTCGAAAGAAAGCCCTGATTGCTATTCACAGGGCACCTGTGCTTTTTTCGATTGACTCTTCTTTCGAAAAATGTCCTTGTTCTGCATCCACACACACCTTTTTTCGAAAGAGCTCTTTTGAAAAAAGCGTTCTTCCTCATGATTTGAGGTTTACCAATCTCGAAAAAACCCCTGCATTCTTTCGATTTAATTTAGAAAGAATGCAATTTCAGTGTAGTCGCAGGTGAAGTTTTTTTAAAAAAGGGCAGTTTTTTCAAAAAACCCAATGTAGTCTAGACATACCCTTAGAGAGAGAAATTAGTGGCAGGAACGATTAGTTGTTCTTGGTTGTTTAAGAAGTTGTTTCAAGAATCTTCAGACTTCCCAGGAAAACTTAAATCTCCATTCCTCAAAAGTTTACCTTCATAAGATTTTGTTTTCTGATTAAAGTGTACAGGCAGTCCCCGGGTTACGTACAAGATAGGGACTGTAGGTTTGTTCTTAAGTTGAATTTGTATGTAAGTCGGAACTGGTACACATTGTAGGGGAAACTCTAGCCAAACATTTCTCCAGAGCTCAGTTTTATTCTCCCATACCTCACTTCCCTCAGTCCTTTATTCTCAAGCTGAGGTGTCTGCTGAGACAAGCCGCTCCGTGTCTCCCTGGTCTGCTGGGGAGGGGCGCTAGCTTCGCGTCTCCCTAGTCTGCTGGGGGGAAGCAGCTAGTGCGGGGTTGCCTCACCCCGTTTGTAAGTAGGGATCCGATGTAAGTCGGATCCATGTAACCCGGGGACTGCCTGTATTCCTTTTCCTTAGAAGAAAATAACTTTCTACTGCGGAATATTCTGTACTTCTATAGCAACTTTTCAGCTAAGTGCTCTTGCAAATATTAATTAATTTAATCTGATAAATAGCTTTTTAGTTAAGTAACAGTTATTCCCATTTTACAGATAAGAAAACTTTTGTATGATAGAGAGATGGCATCAATGTTTGACACAGCCACTTTGTAGCTGATGTGTAAAATGTTATGCATTCAGTTTTAGGTATTTAGGGGTTTTATCTTTTTTAATGATTGCCTCATTTTTTATTATTTTTCTAAGAAAATCTTGTAATCTTGATTGGTAGACTGAAAGTGTATCCTATGAAAATATTTCTTGCTTAGAATTTTTTTTGACTTTCCAGAACCAATCCAGAGACAGTCTTGCTATCTTTATTTAGTCTGCCTCTTTTACTTTGTTTGAGGACTCCTAACGGAGGTTTAGGCTTGTGTCTCCCTTTCTGCTTTTGTCTGAAAAAGGAAGGTGCTGGAGTGGTATGGTTAAGGTCGTGCTCTACTGCAATTGGTAGTTCTTGTCTGACTGGAATCCCATCCATTCCTGTTTAGTGGCTGGGAGTTGTGTATAAAGACAAATTTCTAGTTTAAAGTTTTTTATTAATCACTTGAGCTTCACAGAAGGAAAAAGGAAATCTGATGTTTACAAGACAGATTTGCTTTGGCAAAAATTCTTGATAAATTAATATCTCGCTGATGTTTTTATTTTGTTTCACCATGAAGGTGCAAGGCATGAGCTCCTGCATGGCTTCACTGGCACCTGCTTTGCATGTCTCAGAATAGACTGTACTAACGAGAAACGTCATTTCGTTACTCCCTATCCCAAGCAAGATCCATCCATTGTGATTAATATCTACAAGCTTTGATATTTCAAAGTTGAGTCCCATACATGCCTACAAGTGCCGCAGACTGGGGTAGTACATACTTTGTGGTGTCATTTAACAGTTATAAAACTGGAAGACTTCTTAACTGCTTGCCTGACCACTCTGACTCTCCAGTAACAGAGTATCTAAAATGTCCATTTACACTTGCAGAGACAGCTACCCCAAATCTCGGATGCCAAGAGCACAGAGCTATCCTGATAACCACCAGGAGTTTTCAGGTAAGTAAAACTAGTGGACCCATTTAGTCTTATTAGATACTTCCAGCTCTAAGTAACATGTCTCATAATCTACCAGCCATGGGCCACACAAGCATTCGCCTCTAGTCCTCATAGATCCTTCAGTTTAGTGGTTTGCACACTGCAACCCTTCAAGTGTGTCTCTTCAACTTTCGTCCCCTGCTCTGTTGGACCAGTGATCCCCAACCATTTGAGGTTGCCGGGCGCCAGGGGGTGGGGAAACTTGCACGCTCGGGGCCGGCGCTCCCCTCCCCCCAAGCGCCGCGTGCCCGGGGCCAGGACAGCGGCCGCGGGAACCGTGTTGGGGACCACTGTGTTGGACACTTGATAGTCACAACATTGCAGCATCCAAAGATTCAAAACGCCTCAACTTATAGATTTCATCTCACATCATTGCTTTGCTTAACATACAGCTCCTAGACTTGTTTATAGTGAAAGCAAGTATAAGTTTATTCAGCAAAGCAGAAAATTTACTATGAGCAAGGGGAAGTATAGAAAACAAAGAATTACATATAAAATAAAATCATAGCACACACTGTAGAGCCGTGGTCACCAACCAATAGATTGCAATCAATACTGCCAGTTGATCATGAGGCAGTGTTCCCAGCCTCCCCTTGCTCCCCTCCACCCCCAACAATGAGCCCACGCTGGTGCTACAACCTCCTGCCTCCCCCAAAAATAGAGCTAGCTCTGGCTTCGTGCGGCGTGGTGGGGAAGTCCCGCAGTTCTCTGCCAGATCTGGTGTGGAGTCTCGGGACTCCTCCCCCTCTCCCATGCGCACACCGCAGGAAGGAAGGAAGGTAGGTAGCACGGGGAAGGAAGGAAGGGAAGACAAGACAGCGCGCACTCCTTTCCTGCCCACAACAGCATATGCACTTCCTTGGCTTCCCTTCCTTCCCTGTGCTCCAGGAAGGTGGTGGGGGCGGGGGGATGTTTAAGATGGCGGTGCAGGATCTGCTGTTTTTTTTTTTTTAAGGAGCCGCACATGTGCTTCTTCCAGCACTGCCCACAGATCCTGTCCCAGAGATCCTTGCCCCTGGAGACCTCCAGGTACTGGCTGAGGTGCCCCTGGCCAGGTCTCCACCAGCACCCTGCTCCTGCTCCTTCCTGGCCAGACACCTATCCCCAGCTTGCTCTTATACCCTACCTTCATCTCGATTCTGCACCCCCCATCTCTGTCCCACCCACTGGATCCCTCTTTTATGCCTTCACCTCCGAGTGTAGAGGGGCCCACAAAATCCACTAACCTTGGAACGCCAGAGTTAATCTGGCCTAGGCCTTAAAACTCAGTCCTACCTCCTCTCCCCCCACATGGGGCTGCAGTGCCAGGGAAGTGAGGTGTTTCAGTTGGGGGCACATCAGTGAGGCTTGGGGGGATTTTAGAGGAGTTGCTTTTTTGCATCTCCTTGTGTGGTCCCCGATTGATTTTTCTATGGGTCAGTGGCTCCTGACCCAAAACAGGTTCCCCTCCTCTCCCATAATTAAAGACAATGCTTAAACATTTTGTATTGGACATAATATTTTATTTAAAAATGAAGCCTGGTCAATAAGCTCCCAATTGGGGCCAAGCCCACATCTGGCTGCAGCATCATAACACTCCTATGCACCCCCCACAGATCCTAACCCTGAGCCTATCATACACCTGAACCCTCTGCCCTGATCCTCTCACATCCCCAAAAACCTGCACCCCCACAACCCCAGTCTTCTGCCCCAACGCTCCTGCACTATCCACACACTGCAAACCTGTGCCCTGAGTCCATCATACACCAACCCCCCCTGCCATGCACCCCCTCATACATCCAAACCAAACTCCTGCACCCATACCTCCACAAGCCTGTGGTTTGCTCAGCAACCTAGCCCTCCACTTGACCCCAACACTCTCCAGCCTGGAGCCCCTCCTTGAGCCAGCATCCTCTTCTCCTCCACCTTCTGCACCCAATTCTCTCCTAGAGCTTGCACCTCCCATCCCTTCCACGTCCAAATCCCTCACTCCCACCCCAGAGCCTGCACCTCCTGTATCAACCCAATGAGAGTGAGTAAGGGCTGGGGACAGCAAATGATGGAGAGGGTGGAGCCTCAAGTAAGGGGGGTGGGATCTAGAGGAAGGGATGGGATAGATCATGGCTTGCTCTGATATTTAAAAAGTGATCTTGGGTGTAAAAAGATTGGAGACCACTGCTGTAGAGCCTAGATTTAATTAAGATACTCATGTCTTGAAGCACCCAGAGTCTTTGAAATGCTTTACCACTAGGCTGGCTATGGTCCTCAGTTCAGGAAAGAAGCATGCTGTTTAGTTTGTTTCCCAGATAAAGTATTCACTGTGTCCCTTTGGACTCCCAAGGTGGACTGGACCAATCCTTCGTCTTTATTCATAACCAGACTGCCCCGTGGCTGTTTGTTCCTGCCTGTCAATTTCTTCTCTTGTAGATTTTTCTGTCTCTTAACTGGCACTTGGCTCATGATGTGAATGGGCACACACCTCAGACATAAAATATACAAATAGCCAAATGGGGAGACAATGTCTGTTACCTTCTGCCTTGTTAAAAGGTTAGCGGGTAAGCCTATGCTTTCCAGTTAACTGGCCCTTTCCAGTGAACTCTGGCAATGGCCAGTTGTGCTGGGCCAGGCCAGAGCAGGATCCCGCTCTGGAACCCCAGAGCTGCAATGGGTCTGGATGTTAGGACCTCCCTCAAAATGGTTATTAACTGATTGAGCACTCTCATTTCACCAGTTGTCCGTTTTAACGTCCTTAGCCTGAAAGGAACATTTACTAGGTGTGTCACCTGATCACCCGCCTTAATTCCAAAACCTTAAAAACATAATTTTCAGCATAGCTATATAACTCCTTCAGTATTATCCAACTGGTACAGACATTTTACAATTGTTATAAATACCAGTATCTACTGGCTCTCCATAGAGATCTTACATACTTCTCTGGTGAGCTATTCTGTGCATACTCAAGGGATCTCTGTAAAACCCTCCACAACCATCTGCCATTGACACCAAGGGATTCCATGGTCACAGGATAAGGACATAATTTTTGCCTCTCATTCAAAAGCAAGAATCATAGAATACTAGGACTGGAAGGGACCTCGAGAGGTCATAGAGTCCAGTCCCCTGCCCTCATGGCAGGACTAAATACTGTCTAGACCCGTGGTCACCAACCAGTAGATCGTGAGCTACCGGTAGATCTCAGGGGCTCTAAGAGTAGCTCTTGAGCCCTCTCTGAACTGCGCACCTGCGCAGTACATTTACATTAGATTTCCTCATTTGAGGAGCAGCTACTCACTGAATAACAACACAGGTGTGTAGCTGCGAGGAATGGTGGGAGCTGAGAGGTCAGGAGGGCTGAAACACCCCAGCAAGCTGACTGTGGCTTTTAGCTGAAAGCGGCTGCCCTGCACTCTAGCTGATCGGTGGCTTCTCCTCTGCGTCTGCCCACGTGGAGCTTGGTGCACCCTGGCTGAGCGCCATGGCCAGCTGGCCCGGCCGGC